CGCAAGTTTGAGAAAATTTCCCCAGGAGACGTTCTATGATGACTGATAAACACTGAGCTTGCGTTTGTTCGTAGCCACGGGTGCAGGAAAATGTGCCTACGCGTATTCGTCCGTCGTACGGTGCGAGAAAAAGTCCTAAAAACTATTTACCAAGTGAATCTGTGGCACAAAATGACCAAACATCACCACAGATGCTGATACGACCAAGACCACGAATTTGGGTTCCTTCCACACAGTTAAGAAAAAATGGTATCCTTTCTTCTCTTCCACACAAGTCCCCGTTTCCGCCCCTCCTTCTTGTCCAACTTGTTCATTTTGGACACCCTCGGTATTGCTGGTCTTCGCGTCTACTTCCACAACCGTATTACCAACAGCATTATCAGCATCTTCATTCTCTACATTAGGACTGTAGGTGAGTCCAGACAAACACAGGGATAGAACCACGCCGGCCATTATTTGATAGGTGGTCTGCCAGCCAAAGGCGTCAATCATGGTCTGCAAAAGAGGACCCAGGATAAGGACCCCTCCTCCTTGCCCGCATGTAACAATCCCAGTCGCCATTGACCGCCTCTTTTTGAAGTACTTGCTGATGATGTTGAGGCTTGCAGACAATACACAACTAGTGCCCAGGCCATACAGGACACTGTAGGTTAGATATAGCATAAGAATGTTCTTCGCTAGGGAGGAGAGGCCGAGGCTTAACGAACACAACAATCCCCCGAGTAGAGTGGTGACACGGCAACCGAACCTTTTAACGAGGGCTCCAGATACGAGACCAGAAAAATTCATGAGTGCCATGGCAAGCGAACCCACCCAAGCTATGAAAATCAAACAAGCAAATACACAAATCAATTGCCGCATTTAGACGTTAATTAGGTATTTATTAGGTTATAGTTTAAATTAATAATCAGAGCAGAATATCATAATGTTATCCTAGTTTCTCTTGTGTATCCTCCTTGAAAGTCTTTTCCAGTGATTGCACCTCAATCAGTGCCTGTCCATGGCCAGTTTTTGTCTTTACTTTTTTCGTCTTTATGATTGTAAGCGAGCGAGCAACCCGAGTGCTGATAAAAATGTGCAAAACGAAAGAGACCTCAAGTGAAGTCTCCTATTTCATTCGGCACGATATTTCACGGCGCATTTTACTTCGTGTATCCTGATAAAATTAGAAAATCTTTTTTGGTGTTTCAATCAAATTTAGGCTCCATTCTTTTCGGCACGCTATTTCAGGGCGTTTTTTACTTCATTCTCGGCTTTGAAAAGAACTGTTTTCAGGTGATTAGACCTCGATTAGTTAAGGTAATCGTATGAATGCGACTGCAATTTAGGGTTTACACTACTAGGATTTACACTAGCTTTTGAATGCAAATAAGTTCCCCCAAGAGGGGCTAAGACGGAGCAGATTGCTTGACCGCCGGTGCTTTTTGGCGGTATTACATAAGAAGTCAGAATTTATGTATTCTACTCTTCTCCCAGGCTCGGCCGCTGGGACGGCNGGCCGAGGCTTAACGAACACAACAATCCCCCGAGTAGAGTGGTGACACGGCAACCGAACCTTTTAACGAGGGCTCCAGATAAGAGACCAGAAAAATTCATGAGTGCCATGGCAAGCGAACCCACCCAAGCTAAGAAAATCAAACAAGCAAATACACAAATCAATTGTCACATTTAGACGTTCGGTATTTATTAGGTTATAGTTTAAATTAATAATCACGCAGAGTAGAATATTCATAATGTTAACCTAGTTTTTCTTATGTATCCTCCTTAAAAGTCATTTCCAGTGATTGCACCTCAATCATTGCCTGTCCAGTTTTTGTCTTTGTTTTTTTCGTCTTTGTGATTGTAAGCGAGCGAGCAACCCGAGTGCTGATAAAAATGTGCAAAACGAAAGAGACCTCAAATGAAGTCTCCTACTTCATTCGGCACGCTATTTCACGGCGCATTTTACTTCGTGTATCCTGATAAAATTAGAAACTCTTTTTTGGTGTTTGAATCAAATTTAAGCTTCGTTCATTTCGGCACGCTACTTCAGGGCGTTTTTTTACTTCATTCTCGGCTATGAAAAGAACTGTTTTCAGGTGATTAGACGTCAATTAGTAATCGTATGAATGCGACTGCAATTCAGGGTTTACACTACGAGGATTTACACTAGCTTCTGAATGCAAATGAGTTCCCCCAAGAGGAGCTAAGACGGAGCAGATTGCTTGACGGCCGGTGCTTTCTGGCGGTATTACATAAGAAGTCAGAATTTATGTATTCTACTCTTCTCCCAGGCTCGGCCGCTGGGACGGCGCATCTGCAAGCTGAACGTTCGCCCATTCGATGTGTAAATTAGAGTTTATGAAACAATCGAAAACGAGCTGATCACTCTAGCGGGAAATTAGCCTTTGCAAATTTTGCAGTTAGTCGAGAAAAAGCCGCAATAAAACTAATCAGTTTCTCATTGATAAAATTTCGTTTGAGTGTTCCGACTCACATACAACGCCCAACACTATCGTTTATGAACCAATCAGATGTATACGGAAATTGGTGCGTGTCCACTGTAAATCCTTTGTGCCGAATAATACATTCTATGGTAAATATCTAATTCGGCATTTTCTGTGTAAATCCGTTGACATTTTCAGTGAAATTTGGACATCTGTCGTTCTGCGTGCTCAGGCTGTGATGGTTGAGCTAGATGTTGGCTCCGTAAGAAAGCAAGAGAGGTTACTGCAACTGCAGTTGTTATTGTTGCTATTGTCGCATCATCGCGTGCACGTGTGCCGAACCGTGAAAAGAAAAAAAAAAGCAAAAGGAAAATCTTTTCTTTTCAAAGATCTAACCGAACTAAAGTACTGTATCGTTAGTGTCACTGTTAGTGTCGCAAGACACAATACGCCGACAAAAATTCCCCTCACCCCAACAAAAAAAAAAATAATGAAAAATAAAATAACTAAATAAAAGACAGATGTACTTTGTGTGTGATTTACCAATTTAAGGTTCTTGACATTGTTTTCGATTATTTCAAACACCTTTGTCCCCTAGTCAGACCTATAGCTAGAGGAAAACATCTACAAATTGTGCGTAAACTATTAAACTAAGAATAAGTCAAAATGGTCATAATAAGCAATTGAATCAATCAAAGTCAACAAGTCAATATCATTGCCACATAATTGAATGCTTTCAAGTGTCAGTATATCATAATTGAGAGCTAACCTTAATCGGGCTAATTACGAGCATTATTCAAGCCAACCTGAGCACTATTCAGGCTAACTGCAGTGCTATTTAAGCTAACTGAAGTGCTATTAAGGCAAACCGTAGAGATATTGCTACCTGGAGCGCTATTCAGGCTAACCGAAAAGTTGGATTTGAGCAGTCGTGACATTGACTCACTGACTCATTAATTTATTGACTCACGACTCATAGACTCAGCCGCCTCAAAACGAGGGACAACATTTTAAGCTTATAACTTACCCGTTTTCTCTCTCGATTCGTTAAAATAATCCATGAATACTGGAAAGAAAATTCCAAAGCTAAACACAAATCCCAAAGCGGCCAACCACGAAAGGGTCGCCGAGAAACAAACGAACCACGACCATTTGCCATCCTGTTTATGAGCCATGAGAATATAATTAAAACTGTAGAAACAGCGCTTTTTAGTTTTCCCTTTTTCCAAAAGATAAAGTTACTGATCAACAAAATTTGACAATTCTACGATCGATCCAAGGCGAAATAAGCTAAAATGATCTACAATGTGTTAGCAACAGTGTGAATACTTTCCCAATCAACTTGATTAGGAAAAAAAACTCATTAGCATTTACTTTCAACATCATTTACATAATATATGCAATAACAGAACTTGTTTTGTTAAGATCAGAGATTTGATTTGGGATGCCAGCTCATATGACTTTGCACGAAAACATAAACCTTAACATCAAGGTCCCCGAGAAAACAATAATTAATAGAATAATAAATAGAATAAAAAAAAGTTCATAATAAAAGAACTATGGAGATAGAGATCTTTATGAATTCCAATATTTCTTGGCGAACATGAAAAAATCAAAGAACAAGAATGTTCATCAACAAAAATAAGTGTAAACTAAGTAAAGCATTCGCCATCTTTTAATTAAAGTTTCAACATTGTTGCTGACTTAGAGGTCTACAAAACATCTGGCATTCTTCACGTTTCCCTGAGAGAGACTAACTATTTCGTATCTTGACTTGACTTCAGCAAAAGATCTTTGACGAACAAGAAATCGGTTTAGACAGAACTCGTCCAAACAATAAAACTCTCTCCTGAGCTAGGATCAGCCTCAGTCTCCCCTCCTTGCTCTGTGTCCATAGTAACAGGGATTTCTTTAATTGGTCCATTCAACTCCCAAAGATCAGACAACGTCTCCCTTGTCCTAGTTCCAGGCTCCTTGGTGTTTGTAAAGAGCAACAGAAAAGGAATACATGCGCCTGCGATTACCACAGCACCAGACATGTAAAAGGCATGCGTGTAGGTACCCAAGGAGTCAGCCATAAGACCTGTGTTTTTCCAAAAACAAAGAACTTTTAGCGGAATAAGAAGCAATAAGAAACAAAGTAAATAAGTGTCCTAAATTGTGCTAAATTATAGTCTCTTAGAAAAGGGCTCACTTACGGTAAGTTGTATATACTCTGACAAAATAATAAAACTTTTCCGTCACCTAAAGGAGGTCAAAAAAATCGGATTTCACTACAGTGAAATCCCAGGTCTCTTAGGGTTTGTTTTGGTCCCGGGAGGGGGGTACTCCTGAAAAAATTGGGTGGGGTGTGCCGCCCGCTTCCCAAATCCCTTACCCTAATTAACACCAAAATCTGCGATTTTCCCTGCTCTATTTATGATGAGAAGTCAAAGACTACTGCAAGGCTGACACATCGTCGTATACTTAAAACAATATTTCGGCTGACCAGATCATATCCTCTCAATAATATTCATCCCACTATTAAGCTCGCTAGTAGTCACTCAATTAACTATGCCAATGTCCCCTTTCTCGACGTCATGGTATCTCTACATAACGGCACTATAGAAACTGACCTATACACCAAACCTACAGACAAACATCAACACCCTCTTAGTTCACCATGCCATCCTCAACATACTAAAAAGGCTATTTCAATTAGCTTAGCTCTTCGCATCTGCCGTATTTGTTCTATTGATGCTAAATTGGCACTTCGCCTTAATGAATTAAGAACACCTCGCACGAGGTTATGGTAACACTTCCCTTGACTCACAAATCAAACGAGCTGCTAATATTTCTCGCACTGATGCTTTACATACTAAACGTCACGATTCCATTAACTGCTTGCCTTTTGCTGTTACGTATAACCCATCACTTCCCCACATTTGTAATATCCTGCGTAAACATTTTAACATGTTTCCTTCGACCGCTACAGGGAAGTTTTTAAACGCCCACCCATCCTCGCCTACAGACAAACCTTCTAACCTTCGCGACATTTCAGTTAAAGCTAAACTACCCACTATCACGACTCCTAATGACACTAATTTACCACCAGGCTCATTCCACTGTAGATAAGAATGCGCTACTTGTCCTTACATTACTAACGGTCTTACATGCTACACTTTCTTATCCACAGGCGCAACCCGTCAAATCAAATCACACACTAAATATTTCATCTATATGATACAGTGTAACCGCTGCCATTTAAAATACATAGATGAAACTAAGCGATGTCTGAAGGACATATTCAACGAACATAGACGCTCTGTCGACAAAACTAACGTTAAATCCAAACCCACTACTGTTGCCGAAGATTTTCTTTCTCATCCTAATCACTGTTATACTGACATGCAACTCATCCCACTTGAACTTATCCACTCCTCACGTGATTCAATCAGAAAAGTCAGATAGTCCTTTTTAATAGATTTAGCAGGAACATTGGAACCCCACGGTATGAATAGACGCGATGAATCGTAAAACTTGTAACCTAGGTAGACCCGTTTTATCTTTACTTTATTTAGTTTGTTTTGTTCGTCATTTCCGCCACTCCTCAGAGTTCGTTTCGAAACATGTGTTACGACATCCACCACTAAACAATATTGTAATTTCATTTGTATAATCTGGTAGCATCTAAACCTGAAGGAGGCTGGTATGGCCAGCCGAAATATAGTTGCAAATATACGACATCGTTTTAACTTTTAATCTCCTGTGAGATCCAAAGTTCAATCAAGCAGGAACTTCGTTCACGGCCTTGCAGTTTATAGTTTTCTATCATTTATGTGCTGCAAGAGATTATGATATTCTCTTGTGAGCTTACCAAACATTTGATACTCTTTCTATAAGGCCTGACCCTGAAATCAATACTCTGTTTCAGACCTGCCTTATAATTAGTTTCCTACTCAGGCCAATGACATAGGGAATGTTTTTTTGCTTTTATTAGATAGAATATCTTCTTCTACAAAACATACCCAATTCAAAACTAGAATGCAAAAACAAAGACCGATTTGAGACCAAAATGACCAAATCGATACCCTATTTCTGACCAGAACGGCTAATCATCATACCCTTAAGGGGTGCACATAACTATGTAGCCTTTACAAGGGCTTATCACCCCCAACCTAGCCCCCAACCCCCTCCCCCCTCCCCCCCACCCCGAGTTTTTTCTTTCTCTAATAATATATTATTCTAAAATTTTTGGGAAAACATATATTGTCTACACTTTGAAAACTTTCATCATAAATCGACATACCTGCGGCTGGTGGACCGCCAGCTACAACGATCGAGGTAATTTGCAGTTCCCAGCCAATAGCAAAGGGAACTTGTGATTGGCTAACACACGTTATAACAAGGACATTGAGTGTTGTAATAAACAGACCATCACAGAACCCGTATATCACAACAAAGGCAATCATGTGGGCATAAGACGAAGCCATGGTAACAACCAAAATTGTCGTTCCCAGGACTAGCTCGGCCGCCTGATAGACGTAAAACGTGTTGACTTTCTGGAAGTCGCACAATCGACCAGATATCAGTCTCGCGATGCAAGATGCGAGACCATAATAGATGAAGAGCCTGGATGCTGCGTCAGCAGTGATTCCGATGTCTTCACAAAATCGCACCTGACAATTAACATATAAAATATGTTTTACGTCTTGTTAGGCAAAACAGGAGATGTGTGTCTTGTGAGACCCGGGGAAGACTAAAATTACGATTCTAATACAAATAGAATAAGAAAAGGGCTTTTCCGTCCCAGAGGATAATACCCGCAAGATGGTAACTGCTAAACGCTGAGCTTGGATATATATGAATCCTTAGCTGATCACCGTAAACGTTTCACGGGCCTACTAACATTGTTCCGTTTGTGTTGTGTGGGGCAGTCTAAACAAGCGAAACAAATCCTAAAAGTTATTTACCAAGTGAATCTGTGGCACAAAATGACCAAACATCATGACAGACGATGAGGCGACCAGGGCCACAAATTTGGGTTCCTTCCACACAGTCAAGAAGGCATGGCATCCTCTCTTCTCCTCTTCCACCGAAGTCTTAGTATTTTCCCCTCTTTCGTGTCCAACGAGTTCATTTTGGGCGCCATCAGCACTGCTGGCACTCCCTTCTACTTCCACCACATCACCTTGGAGCTCGTCATGCTCTACATTAGGACTGTAGGTGAGTCCAGACAAACACAGGGATAGAACCACGCCGGCCATTATTTGATAGGTGGTCTGCCAGCCAAAGGCGTTAATCATGGTCTGTAAAACAGGGCCCAGGATAAGGACCCCTCCTCCTTGCCCGCACGCAACAATCCCAGTCGCCATTGATCGCCTCTTTTTGAAGTACTTGCTAATGATGTTGAGGCTTGCAGACAATACACAACTAGTGCCCAGGCCATACAGTGCACTATAAGTCAGGAACAAGGTGAGAATGTTTTTCGCCAGGGAGGAGAGGCCAAGGCTTAACGCGCATAAGAATCCACCGACTAAAGTAGTGAAACGACAGCCGAATCTTTTAATGAGGGCGCCAGATACGAGACCAGAAAAGTTCGTGAGTGCCATTGCAAGTGAACCTACCCAAGCTGAAAAAACAAACACACAAATGTCGCATTCGGAAATTAGGTTTTGGTATTTCGCGTGATAATTATTGGATTCTTAAGAAGTCCAAGAATTATATCTAATGAGACATAACAACGACATGCTCTGGGCCAAAACAAAGACACGGCAATAATGGTGTGAAACACTAAACATTATGTTGCGAGTCGTAGTGTTGTGCCATTTTTCACTTGTAGGAAGTAATTTTTCCCCCTAATCCCCAACCCTGCGCAAACGTTTCTTTGGGCGTATGACGCACTCTGTCTCCTGTGTCGGCTTCGCAAACGATTCTAAGGAAAGTTATCCGGAATGCTGAGATTTCTCTTCCTTTTTTCTCTTTCTCTAGTGTTTTTTATATGATAAATTTTGTTTTCTTATCGAATCAATCACAAATTTTTGCAACAGCACTTGTAAGTGCAAGTGAGACCCCATTGTAATACGTTACGTATCAATTAGTTAATCAGAATTACTGTTTTGTTTCCTGGAAGATATCTTTATTATTATTATTATTATTATTATTATTATTATTATTATTATTATTATTATTATTTACCCAATATCAATCCTATTGAAATGAATCTAGGCGGAGAGTTGTCATATCGACTGGGGGGCCAGGCGAGGACGGAGTCCGGTCTTCGTAGCATGCAGGTGTCACGAGATTGCTGTTAGTTCACGAGATGGCGTCTCATGTTAGGAAAATCCCGTTCAATTTTGACATTTAATTAAATGATCGATTATTGTATGTGTTCTGTTTAGGTATGTAGGATTATATTAGTGAATTGTCTAATCGCAACACGAATTTGGTCTTAGTGTTTAGAGCACTGTAAATGCTGTATTCCTGGAGGGAGTTTATAATGTTCTTTTTCAGTAGGAATCTTGTTATGTCGACGATATCTATATATGGCGTCTACATGTAAAGCCTGTAACTTACCCGTTTTTTCTCTAGATTCATGAAAGTAATCCATGAATACTGGAAAGAAAATTCCAAAACTGAACAGAAACCCCAGCGCGCCAAGCCAAGACAGGGTCGCCGAGAAACAAACAAGCCACGACCATTTTCCGTCCTGTTTATGAGCCATGAGAAGAAATCTGTACGATAAAACGCGCTTTCCTAAAGCTAAAGTTGACAACTCTGAGATAAAAAAAATTAATAAAATGGGAATATTTTAACCAGTGTGATATAAAATTTGCAGACAGGGATAAGAGTTAGCTTGCTACGCAGGCGCTCTTTGGGCTCATGGGAAAAACGCGTGACGAGCCCAAAATAAAAGGTTGATGTCGTGATGCTTGCCACAGCCTTGCACACATCGCGTGGCACGTGGCAAAGCCCGATGAAGTTAACCCAGGACTAGCCAAACATTTTTATACAAGAACAATTAATACATCGCGTGTCGGTTAACGTCTAATTAGTCCTCGGTAAATTAAAACGCCGTCAAAGAGAGAGTTTTCCTACGATTGTCTGAGACGAAACAAACTAACATGATCAGGAGTTATGTTATATGATTTTAATCAAGAAAAAAAAGAAATTGATCTGTCCAAAGTGTAATGCTGAACTGAAGGCAACGGCAGTGAAGCAATACGTGACGTGTAACTATAGGTCCGCTTAGCGTACGAAAGTTCTAACGTGGGGATTTTAAAGAAATGTTACACTAGAAAGTCGTACTTAAATAAACAACCAATAAATAAATGAAATTGGAATTAGCAGTGACAGTGGCACATTTCACAGAGAGGCTCTTCGTCCACCGTTTCCAGATCGGATTGAAATTTAAGGTGTGAGTTCTTGAAGAGAAGGATAAACCGGAAGACTCGGAGAAAAACCCTCGGAGTAAGGCAAGAACCAGGTCCAGGATTCGAACCCAGGCCATATTGGCAGGAGGCAAGAGTTTATACCATACCGCTATCCTGCTCCCCATTCAATAATTTCTAACACTTCGTTAACAAAAGATTTAAAAAAAAAAACATTTTTTTAATAAGGAAGTCTACGTTACAAAACCGTTTACAAAAGGGTCTTGAATTGAAATGATAAAAAATATATTTAAACAAAGAAAACCTCTACTTACTTTCATTAAAAGAAGACGTAAACTGAACTAAAGAAACTATCGACAGAGAAGAATAATTATATTAAAAAATAATTAGATTAAACAGTCAATACGTGCTAAATATGTGCTAAGTTAGTACAACGAATTAAAATTCAATTTAAATAATAGTATTTATAATAATTATAATTATAATAACTGAATAATATAGAATCGAATATTTCGCTTTCAACAACTTAAATAATGATTAAAAATAATAATTAAAAAACTGCAAGAATATCCTAAAGTGAAGAAACGAATCCGGTCAACGTCTTTTACTTATTAGGTCGAGCAAGTTATTGAACTAAATATACACAAGTTCCGGTACTACTCATATCCTATCACTGTACTCGTTTTGTCTTAATTAAGGTCTCAGATTAAGCACCCGTTAATTGCCTTAACACCACTAACGTTTTCTGACCACGATAATTACTCCCCTCCGTTAAAGGGTTCAATTCTAAGCGAGAGCGTAACTCCTTTAAACTGTGTTGCACAAATATCAATCAGCTTTATGTCGGGCAGAGCGGTATCGCCAAAGTACTTATCTCTTTTACTAAAATAAACTATAGAAAGTGGGCCACGCGGCTCTCGTAGAAGATCTGGGACAAGCGGGGAAATAATTAACGTTTTACGAGTACAACAGTTAAGGTCTGTAGTGCTACTGCCGTAAGCACGGCAGTAGCATGACGTTTGAAACCACTCAGTATATCGGCAGGTCGAATTAAGTTCAGCAGGACTACTAAAAACACAAGGCCTTGCCGTGCTGCACTGCAGTAGCGCGAAAAACAAAAAAAGGTGGCTTCAAACGGCGTGCTCTTACCGTGCCCAACTGAATTCATAGCCTGGTGCATCAGCTGCCGTTACTTTCTAGCATTTAAAATGGTCTTCAGCAAAGCAAACTTCTTGCGATCTTCGGCGCGACTGAATTAAATTCGACGTTCATGAAACCACTGCCGTTCTTTTGTCATGTAACTGCCTGGCCAAATTAGTTTGAGTTTAGCACAACAGTAGCACGACATTTGGACTTGGCCTACGCTGTTTGACATTAAGCAAATGTGAGAAACAAGATATTGCGATATAATAAAAAAGGATTTGGAATGTCATTCTGCTAACAAAGAAAAAGTCCTGAAGTAGCTTGGCTCTCAGACGTGGTAATCCATTTAAAGACAAGCTTATCAACCCGCTAAACTCAGCTTCAGGACCACCAAAACAATACCGGCTGAGAGCAAAAGAGTTGGTTCTACCGTACCGCTTGCGAAATAGATCTAACTTTTCTGTCGAAATCGAACCTACCTGCCACTGGTGGACCGCTGGCCAAAAACACCGAGCTGACCTCCAGTTACCAACCTAGCGCAGCAGGGACTTTTCGCGGAATAACCCATGTTATGACAAGGACATTGAGTGCAGTAATAAACACCATCACAGAACCCGTACAAAAAAATGAAGACAATCATGTGGACATAAGATGTAGCCATGGTAACAACCAAAATTGACGTTCCCAGGACTAGCTCGGCCGCCTGATAGACGTAAAACGTGTTGACTTTCTGGAAGTCACACAATCAACCAGATACCAGTCTCCCGACACAAGACGCGAGTCCATAATAGACGAAAAACCTGGATGCCGCGTCAGGGGTGATTCCGATGTCTTCACAATATTGCACCTAGGAATAAACAGAAATACATTAACCTTCCTCGTAACAATGAAATGAGAATATTTGACACGAGGAACATTAATCTTATTATTTATAGGAAAAAATATACACAGTTTGTGCCAACCGATGTAACAAGAAGACTATGTTTTTTGACTGAAGATCACAGCACGAACAATGCACTTTAATCTATGGGATCGTCAACATTTTTAAAAAGCCCCGGTCAGACGATCACAACCTTTCAACGCAACATATTGCAACATCGTTAGGCGCAACATGTTGCGCTCGTTTGGCCGCCCTGTTGCGACATGTTGGTGTTTTTGACTTGAATTTGACGATTTTCAAACTTAAGCCAACAACACCCAACACGTCACAACAGGGTGGCCAAACGCACGCCCAACAATGTTGCGATATGTTGCGTTGAAATGTTGCGATCGTTTGGCCGGGACTCAACTCTCAAAGACTGATCCCGTGGGAAACAGTTGCTTTGTGGTTTTGTTCCAGAAACATTTAGATTATCGGGTAGGACAACAAAGACATTATTAGAATTAAAGATGCCATGTGAAAACAAATCGTGCAACGTTCAAAGGCGGTCGTCGGTCAACATTCGCGGGAAAAAAAGGCACCGTCACTCTCTGACGTCATAGATTTTGCGATGTTGCCTGCTCAGAGACTTCTGGTAGGAAGCAGTTTTGTTAGATTGCATGACCTCAATGAAGCCAATGAGAGCGCACACCGTTGGGGCCTGAGAAATTCCAGCCACGATAACAAATACAAATGTTCCACATTTCGATGATTTTGGGCAAAATGGCCATTAGATTTTTAAACAGGGAATGCTTAAAGTCTTGACGTCCCCTATATGAACATTTTACGGTGGTAGCGTGCTGTTTAAATCCTTCAGAATTTACATAGCTTTCATAAGCTTCTCCCTCGGTGTTGATTTGATTTTAGAGAATTGCCGAGCACTAGACTTTTGCAGATGGCTTGTGCTTTGCCGTTCCAACTCGCCTACATCAAATTAACAATTCTAACTATTATTTACAAAGTGAACTTGCGCCACAAAGTGACCAAACAATATGACAGCTTATGAAACAGCAACCGCCACAAATTTGGGTTCCTTCCACACTGTAACATCAATATGGCATCCTTTACTCTTCGCTTCCTCTGGCGGACTCTCAGGGTCGCTATTCTGTAGGTTAGGGCTGTACGTAGGTCCCGACAGACACAACACTGGAACTACGCCAGCCATTATTTGGAAGACTGTCCTCCAGCCAAAGGCGTCTATTATGGCCTGCAAAAGTGGACCCTGGATAAGGACCCCTCCTCCTTGTCCACACGCTAAAATCCCAGTCGCCATTGATCGCCACCTTTTGAAGTACCTGCTGATGATGTTCAGGCTTGCAGACAACACGTAACTAGTTCCCAGGGCATACAGGACACTATAAGTTAGGAACAGGATGACGATGTTTTTCGCTAGGGAGGAGAGGCCGAGGCATACTGCACATACCGAAGAATCCACCGAGTAGAGCGGTGAAACGGCAGCCGAACTTGTTAATAAAGGCTCCAGATAAAAGTTCAGAAAAATTAATGCCTGCCATGGCAACAAAACTGACCCAAGCTAAAAGAACAAACACACAATTATGTCAGTCAAACATTCACAATCTTTTTCAATTGCGCTGAGGCTGAATTGAGACTCAAAGTGTCTATTTCTACGAGCCGTGTACGATTGCAGAATTTCATAAATCCGTTTCAGATTTAACTAGGAAATCATTGAAAGCAGAAAAATAAAGGATTTGTGAGTATTGAGGGCTAGATGCAAAAACGAGTCGAGACTAAAATGTTCTTAGTCTCAGTTTGGGTATGTTCTCTGGATATTTGTCAAATCTTGGCTATTCTCAGCAGCAAAATTCTTATAAAAAGGCACAGTGTTTGCACTTTTTGAATTGTATTGTTAATTTTCCGCAGCCTGTTCTTTTCAACAGAGCCCCGGTTTACGGACCATACAGCACAGTAGTACAGTACAGTACGGCACAGTAGTACCGGAGGTGTGCTCAGTCACGAACTCTCTCCGTCTCCTATCAACTGGGGCGCTGTCATTTGTCACGACGAAGGAGCCACATGCAATTTGTCACTGTACCATAAAAAGGCTAAGGTTTGACTGATCCTTGTGGCAAGACAGACACATATTGCGTTAAAATCCCTGGCAACGATTAATTAACCAGTAAAAAAGAGCGGTTTTAGCCGCATTTCGTAACAGAGTCATGAGTCCCAATTTCACGGCTGGATAAACATGTAAATCACTTTGTACGCGTGGCGCAATGGAAAAGAAAATGTCTGTAGTCGCAAGACATCACAAATCCATCATATATCAAAATCAGCTTAAAAGGAAACGTCGCGGTAATAGTTGTGCTGAGAAACATTGCAAATCCGAGATTAAAATGTTTCAAGACTGTCTTCGAGATCTTGGTCGACCTTAAGCCTTGACCTCCACCTTGAGATTTGAAGGATATTTACGTACCAATAAAGCTTCTGCATTATACTTACCAGTTTTTTCTCTAGATTCTCGAAAGTAATCCATGAATACCGGAGGGAAGACTCCAAAACAGAACACAAATCCCATAGGGACCAGCCAAGAAATGGTCGCCGAGGCACAAACAATCCAGGACCATTTTCCGTCCTGGACATGAAAAAACATGTTTTCGATTTGCCTCAGTGACGCGGCAAAATAAAAAAAAATTAATAAATCACCGATACGATGTTGTACTGATGTTGTCCTTAGTTGACTTGGAACAAATGTGAGCTGCGTTCAAGTAACTTTGTTGATCGGGCGATTGTTACGTCAGCCGTTTCAAAACAATTTCACAACAATTCGTTTGGTGTCGGAACAATCGGCCAGGAACGGGTCCGGGGTCTGGGTCGGGCGGTCGCCAGTGTCTTAATCTCCCTCCCCCCAGAGACGGGAGATTACTCTGCCTCCTCCCAGAATTGTGTCGTTTTCCTTTCGGTTTACAGCCGTTTGGTATTAATTGTTTTCGGTCTAGGACCCTTTGATATACTTGCAAACTATGAAACTGACAGAGACTCTGTGATGAAACATTATATTCTTTAGTGGTATTCGTACAACAGCACAAACAATGCTTTCATCAGTTGCTCCCCGACAGACGTGCAGCCGGGGGACCTGATAAAGCTACAATCCCAGGCGAAAAGACTCAATGATCAGGACTACGAGTCAAAATTTCTACATGGCTCCCGTCGGCCTTACGATAAATGATGCGTGAAACAGGCCCGCACAGCGTACAAAAGCTCACGACTATCGGTCGCCACGCGTGCAGCGCTTCCGCTGCTGCTCGAGCTTTCATTCGATCAGTCATTTCTTAAGACTGAGAAAATGACAAACGCGCGCGTCGATTTGCACTGCAGAGAAAATTAAAAATTAACAATGAATTGGCCCGCTCTCAGCCGATCACAATGAAGTAATTTTGTCATTTGGATGTTAAACATCATCAACTGGAACACACCGCAAATTCAGCCAACTTCGTCTCTGTTTAAACAGTTTATTTGACCCAACAAGGCCACTGGTAAAAGTGGCCAATGGTCACAGAGTAGTTTTCCTGCCTTTCACAAGGTTACAGTTTTCCGTTTACTTTGACGCACTGACACATGACTGGTAATGGGTTTAATATTCATCTACTTTTTATTGATGGGGTTGGAGATATAAAGAATATCAAATATTACGTTAGATTTTTCTCTTTTTTTCCTTTTTCTTTCTATTTAATTTTAGTCTGAAGTGAGATCGTGGGAAAGAGTGGTCGCTAAAATCAGATGAAAAAATAATTTAATTTTTTTGTCGGAAAAAACTACACGGTGATGAAATGAGATTTTCCTCAGGCTGCACTAAGTAAATAAAACCCCGTAATGACCCTATTATCCAATCAAAAAGCAAACTTCCCACCGGCACACGACAAACTCAAGGTCTACGCGGGACAAAAGCAATAAAATTTGATCAAAACTCAACGTGACGTTGGCCACACAATAGATTATGACACTGGGTGACGTGACAAACACAATTGAAACTCAAAAATTTGTCACACAAAAATTCTTTCATTTCAGTACATGGGACAAAAATTATAACGTGCTATTAAAAATCTATTTTAATTTTCATGTAGCTGTCCATGACCTTGCTCATTAAAATGTCGTGTTCCAGTTGACGCTAACGGCGTGCCGGGCCCCAAGCTGTGGGGCGGGGGGCAGCCGTGGAGCTGCCGATACAGGGGAAGTCAGCAATGTTGCTTGTGTCTGGGGGTGGGGGCTTCTCTTTGACAGACTGCCGAGGCGGCAGTGGCTGCTGCTGCTGCTGTTGCTGCTTTTGGGGTTTCCTGTCGCTGTCCGAGTTCTGGACGTTGTCCCACGGAGCATCTCTGACAACAAAACCAACCTGGTTGCTTTGTTTGCTTGGCGGGTTCAAATAATGGCTTAGAACATCATGCTGTTCAATCTCGTCACGTACGTCTTGCATCTGAAATAACGTGACAACAGTTACTACCATTGCAAACAAAAGCAAGGCATACCTTGTTCCAGGGTCTTTGACTTACGGCAACCATCGAAATAAATACTCTTTAGAGCGAAAACAGATCCAAGACAAGGCACGGGAGAGGGGGAGGGGAACAACTTGCGCAGACGCTTCGATTTCCAAAATAAGAAACGTTTGTGAGCGTGGGTTGGGGTGGGGGGGTAGTGCCGAAAAAGTTACGTTGTACAATGAAGACATTAAATACTTGGTGTGAGTGATTAATTGATTTATTGATTGATCGATCCATCGATCAAAATTATTATCCTCGCATTTTTGAGTCAAGGAAAAATGTCTGGTTGACGAGCGAGTTGACGGTTAGTTCATATATGTTCCAGGATTAATCGGTGAACAATTAACAGTATCACTCAAAAGTAAACACTTACATATTCTTCTTCCAGCAGCAGAAGTTGATCTTTCGCTTCTTCAACATTCTCTGCCATGCCGGAAATGACGACAGGATCAGAAGTGTTGAGAGAGGGGAACCGGATGTCCACCTTGTATGTATCCATGAATTTACGGATGGTACGACCCTTGGTGCCAATCAAACGGCGATGAACCCGCGGGTCGATAGGGACTTCCACACTAACTTGGTCTTCCTATTAAAAAAGAAAATGCGCGGATGTTAGACACTAAAAGAACATGATTAATACTAATATTGAACGTGTCGAGGTGACCACCACAGATGTCCCCTGTTGGAACAACAGGAAGTGTCTGTATAGGTGAGCAAGGAACAAAACCACTGTCTGCAATAATGAAGTGTCCGAATTAGGCGAGTGCCTGCAAAGGGGGTCCTGCACTTCACACACTACTAGCTACATTATATTGTTAACGCAAAGTCAAATTCATGGACTCTTAAAGAAGCTACGTCACAGTTTGTGCATCATGAAAAGTTTAGACTAAATTTTTCAAGTTCGTCTTTCGTAATCCGTGTTAATTTTCTCCATCGTTAATCATCGTTTTTCCTTTATGGTTTATTATTATCTTTTTGGTGTTTTTCTAGTTTAGAAAACTACTAATCTCTGGTTTCTTTGAAGTAAAGGTATTTTTGTGCGCTACCAAAATTAATCAAAATACCGTGACTGTGCTCTTTAAGGAAATGTGGATGCTTATAACCAATAAATACCTACCAGTTCCCTTACTATCTTCAAAATGGCTTCCTTGGCAGCTTCACAGTTGTGTTCATATCCTGTCAAAACAATCTTGTCAGCTTCAGACTCCGACGCTTCCACAGGTGGAAACTGTATCTGCACCGCGTGATCTGTGCGGATTTTCTGAATGACTTGTCCCTTGCGGCCAATGATCTTAGGATGATAAGAACTTGCAACACTGATCTCCATTTTGAAACTGCGTAGTTGCTGTGGAAAGGACCATACACGTGCCATTAATTTACAGTCTGGAACACTAAAGGGAAAAATGTCCTCTCATATAATAAAAGGTCCCTGTAAGGAAGATCCAAAACTCACCCGGTCCTCATTCTCTGCCTCAATCTCAGCCACCTTTTGTTCCAGAGCCTCTATGGCCTTGTTGACCTTGGGTCGAGTTCCAACAATCACAACCTGGTCAGATTCATCCCTAGAGGGAGGTATGGTGATATTCACGTCGAATTCATCCATCATCTGGCGTACATTTGCTCCTTTTGCACCAATGATGAAGCGATGGTAATCAAAAGGAATGGTCATCGTTTCAGTGATTGGAACAAGTTCCTGAAGTGAAAAGAAGAAACGCGTTAGCTGTAGGTCCAGTCCTCTTTCACACTTTTCGGGGAGACTGGTTACACCGGAGAACAAAATAATGATTCTTTGGGGTGGAAAGCAAAAGAGCTGTAGACTCAAGTGTTTTCTTCCAAACCAAAATATCAGTGAACTATCGTGTTTCCTATTACATTAACTACATGTACGTCTAAAATAAAAATGTGATTTGCAGAATCTAGAAGGGCTTTAAAACTGTCTTTCAAAGTTATGTCAGAAGTGCTCATGTTGCAAGTTTCTACAGTAGTTATGTACATGTTTCAGTAACTTTTGCAAAATTTAAGAAGTTTGGGAGAAGAAGGGCTTCTACTTCACGTGTCTTCAGCAAAATTAATGTTTCAAAATTTTCAATAAATCTTCATAAATCTTTAAGGAGCTACGTCACTGTTTGTGCACCCTGAAAAGTTTAACATCATAAATTTTTCAAGTTCGTGATTGCAGTGAGTCGGTGTTAACTTTCTCCACCCTTAACCATCCTTGTTCCTTTATGGTCTATTATACCTCTTTGGTGTTTTTCTGCCTTGGTAAACTACTATTTTCAGGTTTCCTTCAAATTTAAGGTACGCCGTAGTTTTGCACGTGCCCAAAATAACTCAAAACACTGTGACTGAGCCCCTTTACGTAGGGTTTACGATTGGATGATGAAGTTAGATGCGAGTTTGACTTACCAACAAGGCCTCCCTGGCTGCCTCAGCATTGTCCTTTGAGCCAGTAATGGTGATGGTGTCACACTTGCGAGGACTCGCAGGAGGGGACCCAGCATCTTCTCCGTTGACCTCCACGGGTGAGGAACTGCCATTAACCATACCCTGACCTCTGGCGCCGGGATCTCGGTCAGGAAACTTGATCTGAACTTTGTGCTGCGAAGTGACCTTCTGTACATTGACTCCTTTGGCTCCCATGATGTTCCGGTGGTATTTCTGTGGAATGACACAGTCAATAGACACCATGGAGTCGAGCTCATCTACAATCTCCAAGATCCTCTTTTTGGCTCCTTCAATGCAATCTTTAGCACCTTTCAGGACGACGCGGTCGGAGTTGACGCCGTTTCTAGGGAAACTGACAACAACTCCTCCAAAGTCATCAGCGATTTCTCGCAGCTTTTCACCTCGCTTGGCTACAAAGTACTTGTGGTGTTTGGGGTCCACGTGCACTTCGCCCTCAACAATATTGTCCTGGAAAGAGACAAAACATTAGTTAACAGCATGTACTAGACCGAGTTTAGTCGACACACGAAACCTCAGAGGACAAATCCTCACTCGGTTATTTTCCCTTTTGTGTGTTCTTTCGCGTCACGCTCAACGGAAAAAGGAAAAAAGAAGGGCTGAAGGACCTTAGACCTCAGATCCATGTTTAACCCCAATTGTTCAATAAAAATAATAATCAAGTAGCTGTCTCTTCGTTTTCAAAATCGAGAGTGAGCAAGATTAATTTCTCTTTACAAAATCATCCATTAACAAGCAACAGGTGATGAGCATAAACAAAGTCATCAGGGAGATATTATCTGGAAGTATCACCAAATTCTCCGAGCTAAATTTCAAACAAACAAAAAAAAAAGTATCAAAACCAATGAGGATATTTGATATTTCAATCAAAGCACTCTTCGTACCAGATCTTTAATGGCTTTCAGAAGTTCTTGTTTGGCTGCTTCAACTCCTTCTTTCTTTCCAATGATTGTAATCAGTTCCTTGTCTTCATCACTTGGTGTTGGGAATACAACCCTTGCGCCAGTATTTTCCCGAACTTTCTTGATGTTGGCCCCTCCTCTGCCAATCAGGAAGCGATGGTGCTGTGACTTTGCACGGATCTCAAGGGTGTAACTGTTAGTTTCCTGTGGCACACAAAAAAGAATCTGTTAAAGCAGAAACAGGTTTACCATTATGAGCCACTCAAATGTATGCTGCCTGCCAAGGGATTTGTGAGTGACAGTGATCAAAGGTCTTGCAGCATTACGAGGAAAACGAACCTTTCTTCTCAAACTTATTAATAATTTATCAAGTATAAACAAAGGAAATCATGGCTGTGACGGTGTTTGGATATGATTATCTGATCTTCCTTAGCACAGAATTTAACGATTACATTTCTCCATTTTCTCCTCAGTTTTAGTTTCGAATGAGAAGATATATCAAACACTCAAAGACAGAGTTGAACCATAATTCCAAACACCTCGACGTCTGTCAAAAATACTTTGCTGTGCGTCCTATTTTCAACTCTCTTCTCGGAGTTTAGAAATGTAGTCAAACAATCAATCAATCAGTCAATCAGTCAATCAATCAATCAATCAATCAATCAATCAATCAATCAATCAATCAATCAATCAATCAATCATTTTATTTCTTAATCAGTTACCCTTAAGATTTGGACTGGCCCGTGGATAGCTAGTGCTAGTCTGGGCGGGAGAGTCTATCAACAGTTACAAACGTTCTTTTTTATTAATAAATAGAAAAATAGAAAGTTAGGGTAAAAAAAAAATTCTTTCGTGTTTGATATATTACTGCACTAATGTCAGTACACCTGTGGATGCATGCTCTAGGGTCATGAACAGTTCACAAGAAAGAATTTACGTTGAAATACATGTACAATGCAAAAGGTGTGTTCAATATGGGATACCATAGTGAAAAACAATGGAAAATTTGCATATCTATTTCCTTTCTTATTCACAACGTTGTTCGACTATGGCTGCAATTTTAGCACCCTTAACATTAACCAGAAGAATCTTATTCACAATTCTGATCCAAACCTTTTCATTCAAAAGATCAAGAAGTTGTTTCTTGGCCTTTTCAACATCATCCTTGGGTCCACGGATGAGGACCTTATCACTGTTACTGCCCTCTGGCGGGAATTTGATGCTAACTCCACCACACTCATCCATGATGGAGCGAATGAGTCGACCCTTGGCACCAATCACAGCATTGTGATGCTTATGTGGGACGTTAACTTCTATTTGAGTGACATTTGCCTGCAAAGAAGAGCTTACTTTTAAAACTGGTCTGAAACTTGGAATCACCAGTATTGACTTAAACAGTACAAATTCATTAGCTAGGCTACAAGTGGTCCTGCTTTTGCTTAGACCACCATGCATGACGCAAAAGAAATATATGGTCATGCTTGATGGACTAAACAAAAGAGGGAATACTCGTACTCTATAAATCAGCCCATTTAGACTGGGATTCATTTTTCTTATTACTCTTCTCTATTTCTTTGTCTTATTACAACTACATGTATTTACAGTACAGGGCACTTCTCATTGTTTGACTTATCAAAAGTGGTTACCTTAAATATCCAGAGTGAAACAACAGCAGTCTAATCAACCAAATTTTCTCAGTCTGTAATGATTTATGTCATATCTTCCTGTCATTTTACTGCCTGCTCACTTGGTGCTTGGACTATGAATGTAAAGACAATGGCAAAGCTAGAGGATCAAGACTCTCACCAGTTCATTCTGGATTGCAATGATGCGATCTCGAGCTGCTTCCACTTGTGCTTTGTGTCCTGTGATAACGATCATATCACTGTCACTTCCTTCTGATGGCAACTCAATCTTGGTGTCAGTCTCTTCACGAATCTGCAAAGAAAACAGCACAAAACGGTCAGTTAAGGAGAACATGGTTTACATTAACACAAATATAGTGCGTGTGTGTGCACTCAAGACCGACATTGGAACCAAAGCTAAGGGACACTTTTCCATTATTACCTAAGACTGTGGATTAACCAGACTAAACTTTATATGAGAGTACACAGACAAGACTAAATCAACACAACAAACTGAGACTACAAAGCGATACCTCCTTTCTGATCGAAAAACCAAAGGGAAACAAAAGCAAAAAAGAGTTCTAAGAATTGAATATTTACTTAGATACAGAGTACACCTGCACAAGAAAGCAATGTTCATGAATGCAACTTTCTTGCCCAAAAGGGGAAATGCTGAGAAGGTATCAACTGTGTTTGGCACCAACTTGTTGAGACTTTTTGATGCAGATTTTATGAAAATTAATACAGTGTTTTCAATTTGTTCTTTAGCTATCAGTCAGACTGAACTTATGAGTGGAAACACACAACAATATTGTTATTTGCCAAGATACATTAGTTTTTTTACCTTCTTGATAGTAGCTCCACCTCTACCAATCACATTCTTGTGGAACTGTTTGAAAATTGGAACCTCCACGCGGAAATTGGCAGCAATCTGTCCATTGCGAAAAAAGAGGAGATTTTAAAACTGTGCTGCCTAAAGTAGTTTTCGACTGATCGATTGTACATACAGTACACTGCCAAATTAACACATGCTAAACAAACAAGCCTTACCAGTTCAGAATTCAGTTTCTTGAGGAGAGTGTAAACGCTGTCCACATCTTCCCTCGGTCCTCGTAAGTTCACAATGTCACTTTTCTTGCCAGCATCGGGGAAAGAGATTTGAACTTCGGGATACTTATCACGAATTTCACGGATCTTTTCACCTTTGGCTCCGATGATGGTTCGGTGGAATCGTTGTTCAATGAGCACGTCTTTAGTCTTTTCATTTTCCTGCAAGATAATACAACACCATAGGTAGGTTGTGAGGTTCGGTCTACAACTTCTGGAATTGAATTTACACATCCCAGGAAAATACTAAAGTTATTGGTGAGGTAAACACATTGGGTCACAAACTCTAAAGAGCCAGCAAAATCATCAAAACTATGGACAACTTTTCTGGGAAACTGAGTCTACATAAAATTACAGGTGCTGATTGGTCACAAAAGAAATCTATTTAGATTTTTAGGTTCTGTTTAATAACCAAAGAAATGACTATATGGATTTTTTTAGCAGCCTTGGTACTATGATTTTCAATCTTGACCAAAAGATTTTTTAGTGACACATCAGGCAATCGACACTTTCTGACTGTACTTGTTTCAAGCTTGTTAGAGTGACTTCTCAGCCAGCATCTCTGACAACACATAACCTTTAAATCTACAGTACCTCTCTTCCCACACTGTAAAAGAGAACTTAAAAAACTTCACTTGGTAAATTACAAAAAAATGTAAGCTGCAAAGTAAGGACAATTAACCCAGGAGGTGGACTTACCAGTTTTTTAACCATCTGCAGAATTTCAGCTTTAGCCAGAGCCACGCCTTTTGGCGATCCTTCGATCCTGAGGATGTTACTTTTTTCATTGTTGGATGGGATCAAAATGGATGTTCCTGTCTCAGTCTTGATGCGATTCACTAAAGACAAATGAGCACACATTATAAATATCACAATAAAGAATGTCCTCCAACTCAGTTCAACTATGGAAGTTGAGTTTTAACCAAAACTCCTGAGGAAACCAAGTCCACACAATTCTCGATGATACATGTATCATTAAACATACCATTGCTTCCATTCTTGCCGATGATGTGAGGATGAAATTTGTGGTCCACATTGATTTCTGCATAGTCCATTGACGCTTTCTGCAAATTGAAACAAAATCAAAATGAAGACGACAAATTCAAGTTAAAAGACAGCGGCCAACACCCGTTGGGAATGAAAAATTCATACTCCTAACAAAAAATTGACATGTATCAATGCATGACCATTGTACACTGTTTACTAACCAGTTCTCTGATGAAGGTCTCCAAAGATTCCTGCGCTTTCTCCACTTCTTGAGGAGGCCCCTCCAAGGAGACACTGTCTTTCTCATCACTGAATTCCACGTGGACCTNTCAATCAATCAATCAATCAATCAATCAATCAATCAATCAATCAATCATTTTATTTCTTAATCAGTTACCCTTAAGATTTGGACTGGCCCGTGGATAGCTAGTGCTAGTCTGGGCGGGAGAGTCTATCAACAGTTACAAACGTTCTTTTTTATTAATAAATAGAAAAATAGAAAGTTAGGGTAAAAAAAAAATTCTTTCGTGTTTGATATATTACTGCACTAATGTCAGTACACCTGTGGATGCATGCTCTAGGGTCATGAACAGTTCACAAGAAAGAATTTACGTTGAAATACATGTACAATGCAAAAGGTGTGTTCAATATGGGATACCATAGTGAAAAACAATGGAAAATTTGCATATCTATTTCCTTTCTTATTCACAACGTTGTTCGACTATGGCTGCAATTTTAGCACCCTTAACATTAACCAGAAGAATCTTATTCACAATTCTGATCCAAACCTTTTCATTCAAAAGATCAAGAAGTTGTTTCTTGGCCTTTTCAACATCATCCTTGGGTCCACGGATGAGGACCTTATCACTGTTACTGCCCTCTGGCGGGAATTTGATGCTAACTCCACCACACTCATCCATGATGGAGCGAATGAGTCGACCCTTGGCACCAATCACAGCATTGTGATGCTTATGTGGGACGTTAACTTCTATTTGAGTGACATTTGCCTGCAAAGAAGAGCTTACTTTTAAAACTGGTCTGAAACTTGGAATCACCAGTATTGACTTAAACAGTACAAATTCATTAGCTAGGCTACAAGTGGTCCTGCTTTTGCTTAGACCACCATGCATGACGCAAAAGAAATATATGGTCATGCTTGATGGACTAAACAAAAGAGGGAATACTCGTACTCTATAAATCAGCCCATTTAGACTGGGATTCATTTTTCTTATTACTCTTCTCTATTTCTTTGTCTTATTACAACTACATGTATTTACAGTACAGGGCACTTCTCATTGTTTGACTTATCAAAAGTGGTTACCTTAAATATCCAGAGTGAAACAACAGCAGTCTAATCAACCAAATTTTCTCAGTCTGTAATGATTTATGTCATATCTTCCTGTCATTTTACTGCCTGCTCACTTGGTGCTTGGACTATGAATGTAAAGACAATGGCAAAGCTAGAGGATCAAGACTCTCACCAGTTCATTCTGGATTGCAATGATGCGATCTCGAGCTGCTTCCACTTGTGCTTTGTGTCCTGTGATAACGATCATATCACTGTCACTTCCTTCTGATGGCAACTCAATCTTGGTGTCAGTCTCTTCACGAATCTGCAAAGAAAACAGCACAAAACGGTCAGTTAAGGAGAACATGGTTTACATTAACACAAATATAGTGCGTGTGTGTGCACTCAAGACCGACATTGGAACCAAAGCTAAGGGACACTTTTCCATTATTACCTAAGACTGTGGATTAACCAGACTAAACTTTATATGAGAGTACACAGACAAGACTAAATCAACACAACAAACTGAGACTACAAAGCGATACCTCCTTTCTGATCGAAAAACCAAAGGGAAACAAAAGCAAAAAAGAGTTCTAAGAATTGAATATTTACTTAGATACAGAGTACACCTGCACAAGAAAGCAATGTTCATGAATGCAACTTTCTTGCCCAAAAGGGGAAATGCTGAGAAGGTATCAACTGTGTTTGGCACCAACTTGTTGAGACTTTTTGATGCAGATTTTATGAAAATTAATACAGTGTTTTCAATTTGTTCTTTAGCTATCAGTCAGACTGAACTTATGAGTGGAAACACACAACAATATTGTTATTTGCCAAGATACATTAGTTTTTTTACCTTCTTGATAGTAGCTCCACCTCTACCAATCACATTCTTGTGGAACTGTTTGAAAATTGGAACCTCCACGCGGAAATTGGCAGCAATCTGTCCATTGCGAAAAAAGAGGAGATTTTAAAACTGTGCTGCCTAAAGTAGTTTTCGACTGATCGATTGTACATACAGTACACTGCCAAATTAACACATGCTAAACAAACAAGCCTTACCAGTTCAGAATTCAGTTTCTTGAGGAGAGTGTAAACGCTGTCCACATCTTCCCTCGGTCCTCGTAAGTTCACAATGTCACTTTTCTTGCCAGCATCGGGGAAAGAGATTTGAACTTCGGGATACTTATCACGAATTTCACGGATCTTTTCACCTTTGGCTCCGATGATGGTTCGGTGGAATCGTTGTTCAATGAGCACGTCTTTAGTCTTTTCATTTTCCTGCAAGATAATACAACACCATAGGTAGGTTGTGAGGTTCGGTCTACAACTTCTGGAATTGAATTTACACATCCCAGGAAAATACTAAAGTTATTGGTGAGGTAAACACATTGGGTCACAAACTCTAAAGAGCCAGCAAAATCATCAAAACTATGGACAACTTTTCTGGGAAACTGAGTCTACATAAAATTACAGGTGCTGATTGGTCACAAAAGAAATCTATTTAGATTTTTAGGTTCTGTTTAATAACCAAAGAAATGACTATATGGATTTTTTTAGCAGCCTTGGTACTATGATTTTCAATCTTGACCAAAAGATTTTTTAGTGACACATCAGGCAATCGACACTTTCTGACTGTACTTGTTTCAAGCTTGTTAGAGTGACTTCTCAGCCAGCATCTCTGACAACACATAACCTTTAAATCTACAGTACCTCTCTTCCCACACTGTAAAAGAGAACTTAAAAAACTTCACTTGGTAAATTACAAAAAAATGTAAGCTGCAAAGTAAGGACAATTAACCCAGGAGGTGGACTTACCAGTTTTTTAACCATCTGCAGAATTTCAGCTTTAGCCAGAGCCACGCCTTTTGGCGATCCTTCGATCCTGAGGATGTTACTTTTTTCATTGTTGGATGGGATCAAAATGGATGTTCCTGTCTCAGTCTTGATGCGATTCACTAAAGACAAATGAGCACACATTATAAATATCACAATAAAGAATGTCCTCCAACTCAGTTCAACTATGGAAGTTGAGTTTTAACCAAAACTCCTGAGGAAACCAAGTCCACACAATTCTCGATGATACATGTATCATTAAACATACCATTGCTTCCATTCTTGCCGATGATGTGAGGATGAAATTTGTGGTCCACATTGATTTCTGCATAGTCCATTGACGCTTTCTGCAAATTGAAACAAAATCAAAATGAAGACGACAAATTCAAGTTAAAAGACAGCGGCCAACACCCGTTGGGAATGAAAAATTCATACTCCTAACAAAAAATTGACATGTATCAATGCATGACCATTGTACACTGTTTACTAACCAGTTCTCTGATGAAGGTCTCCAAAGATTCCTGCGCTTTCTCCACTTCTTGAGGAGGCCCCTCCAAGGAGACACTGTCTTTCTCATCACTGAATTCCACGTGGACCTGTTAAAAAATACACACACATTAAGTTGTTCATGACCTGTACAAAATAAAATACTTATTTAATAAGCAACTAACACAAGACTTCTCTACTCAATAAACTTCCTTTATTACCTTGGGTAAATCCTGGGTTATTTTCCGAATGTTCTGTCCTTTCCTACCGATGATAAACCTATGCAGCCAGCGAGGAGCATCAACTTCAGCAGAAACAACACTGCTAGCTTTTTCGTACACCTGTGTTAAAGCTCTTCCAAGCTTGTCTGGCTCACCACGTAAAGTGATGGTTTCTAGGTCACTATCAAGGGGTGGCATTTCCACGGAAACACCTGATGAAAGTTAACATAAAACATAAAAGTATATAAATAAGAATCCCAAAACTTTCTGATCACTCCTTTTCACCAAGCCATTTCCACCTAAGTTGTTCACCAAAACATGAAAAACTCCAGGCCCCAGTTGTTCAAAAGGTGGATAATGCTATCCACCGGATAAAATGCTATCCAGTGGATAGCGTTATCCACCTTCAAACAACTCAGGCCAGAGCTTTATTCCAATATTTCCTTACCAGTCAAAGCAAGTATTTCTTGCAGAGTTCCACCCCGAGGACCAATGACATACTTGTGCTGGGACTTTTTCACCTCAATGGACACAGTGGTAGTTTTGCGTTTCTTTTCTTCATAAATTGCCATGATCGTTTCCTTTGCTGTGGCTACACCTTCCTTCTCTCCCGCAATAGTGATCTCATCCTTCTGAGCTGATGGTGGTGGGATATTGATTCGAGCTCCAGTCTGCTCCATGATCTTGGAAGCGTTAGCTCCAGCAATGAAAGGGTGGTACACATGTTCAATATTGAGCCGTTCAAAAGCCAGTTTAGCCTCGATAAGAGAAATCAGATGTGGCATAGTTAAACCTTATTATCCAAAACCTTAAAAATATCTTCACAAATCTTACTTAGTCATATGTTGTAATTTTACTGCTGTAATGCACTAATATACTATTATTTTCCTCTAATCCACTCCAGGGCATCCTGTCTCCACAAAAGAAGACATCTACTCAAGCTCACACATTTGCTTTTGAAAAACCAACCCTGATGAAGGCATTACATTGCATTCCAAAAACATCCGACTCTATTTATATCTATAAGTACGCTTACTAACATATTTCTCTCCATTTTCTACAGGGGTTTCATTAACATTTTCAGCTGGAGGGCAACTGGTTTTCACAGGCGGGCAAAACCTTTTTTCACTGAACTTCATCATAAGAACAACTCTTATCTAGATGGTCAAACCAGGCAGGCAAAATCATCCTCACAGCCAGGCAATTTGCCCAGTGCCCTGCCCTTAATGAAACCCCTGCTTCTATCACTTATTTATGAGTGCTTTGTGGCATATATCTATTTTGTTTCATTTACCTGTTCATCCGAAATAATCTGAATCTCATGCCGAGCACTGTCTACACCTTCCTTGGTGCCGACGATTCGGATGAGATCTGACCCATCCCTTGGCATGGTGATTTTTGTTGCAGTTTGTAGTTCCAGTTGCTGCAAGGTCTTTCCTCCTTTGCCAAGAATGAATTTGTGATGTTCTCGAGGGATGCCGAGGTCAACATTAGCCTGAGTACAAACGCCACACATCAAACAATGTTAGATGGTCCAAGTCATATTTCTGTGCTAAATATACACATACAAACTAATAGTCTTTGATACCTACTGAACTACCTGTTACTCCAACCAGGTGAGCAGACTTGACCATTAGTGAATCAACCACAATTAATAAGACCTTGAAGATTCTAGGGTCTCGGGCTGGCTTGCACAGTGTTAACACTGGGGCTGCCCACACCAGATACAGTATTTAGCCTTTTTTGCAGTTTGTTCTATTTTTGAGTTGGAAGGTATAGCAAATCACTAAATGACTGGCCCCACGAGAAAGAGAGAGTTTTGTTTCCCCTCAACCCCAAATGTTCCTCTCAGTTCTGCCTGGGGAACACTGAGGGTCTCAGGGAAACAAAACCACTGTTTCTCTTGGGGCCAGTCATTAAGTGCTTAATAATACATGTGGAGCGGGGGTAGTGATGAGAGAATTTGGCTCCCAGCAATGTGGCCAGGATTCGAATCCCTCACCTGGCATTATAAGTGGGTCGATTCTGTTGGTAGTATTTGTATTTGTTCTGAGGGTTTTTCTACTGGTTCTCCAGTTTTACTCCCTCCACAAAAGCCAACACTTTCCAAATTCCAAACAGTGGACGGATAACTACTCCATCAAGGTGCCACTGATAATTTTCATTTTATATATTATATTTACAAGTATTTTACTCATTACACTACATGTGCTTGCTCAAGAACATACCATTTTCTGTATTCTGTACTGCACGAGTGTACTAAAAAAAGCAAGTTACCTGGGTCTGAAGCTGGGTGAGTACCATACGTCTGGCTTTAGCTAGCAACTCTGGTTTTCCAGTGACCATGATTGTCAATCCTTGATCTTTTCCAGAACTGATCTCAATTGCTGCTCCAGTCTTAGCCATGATATCACGACAAATCTCACGCTGGCGGTCATCTCCAAAGGCATTTTCATTGGGCTGTTTGTAGCGGCGTTCTTCCAATGGGACACGGAAAACCTGAATTTGAAAAATTTCAATAAGAAACAGTCAATTATTAAAATCCTCTCCCAACAGGCACTGTAGCCTATTAGTTCAGCAGATTGTGAATATTGATCAAGATTCAACCCCTAGCTAGCGGCTTGTAATAGATCAACTAGCTTGATGAGTGAAGGGTATGAAGCTATTTTTTTCAATTTGTCTCAACTGCTGTCTAATTTTGTCCGGGGTTTTAGCGAATCTTCTTAACAGCAAGTGCAAAATGTACATCACAAAATCTTTTCACAGTAAACAAATGCATTTAAGCAGTACTATTTATTTCAATCAATCTCTCAAGACTGGCTGAATTCCAAAACATTATTAGATGTATAGTGGCTATCCCCCCAACCCTCTTTCAATGTTGTTTTGGATAGCACAAGAATTGCATGCGTTAGCTAGTTCTCAGGAAAAAAAAAAACACTGACTGGGATGGGGGAGGGGAGGAGGGGGGGCTTTGATGTGGTTTGATTACATAATAGTATCACATGCAATTAAAACACTGATAAAACAGTATCAACTAGTTCTATCAGGGGTTCTAGTTTCATTTGAGTACATCATTGTTGAGGCATGCAGGCAATAAATCTCACTTAAATTTGCAACAAAACAAAGTAGTTTTATAGAAATTCTTAGAACATGTACATGCTCCTTCTCTATACCTACCCCAGTCTAGGTCAACTGTTTTTTATTTAGCTTTTGTTATAACAACTTTACAGATGCTTTTCTTGCCCAGTGAATTCAATTTGAACATACAATTCAGTAATTTTGTCCATCACAAAAATAGTTATTAGATTTGTAACATAGCTGCTTTAAACAAATGAAATTTATCCTCTATTAGCCATTTGAAAAGCAGATGGAGCTAACAGTGGATATGGTGGGAGGTGGCAAGGGCATATGTGAATCTCTCCTGAATTGTCTTTTGCATGAAGTAACTAGCCACAGTCTCTTTGATTACAGTAACTCAAAACAGATGCCTGATGCCTTTTGTGTTGTTCAATGCACTTCACAGCTTGCACTACACAGGTTCTAGAATTTTAAGTTCTCTAATAATTATTTATCTCATAAACTTCAATCTTAAGTCACTATCAAAACCATATTAACTTTAACAAAATTGCTATTCTAACTCAGAGACTTTGGCTGATAAGAAAGAGAAAACTTTCAAGATATGCTAAAGGCTTGGTTCCGGTTACACATATGAAGAAAAGTTATCATGGAAAGACAACGAGAAGACAGTTTTAAATTACCGCTGGGGTTTAAGCTAGTTACAGTAACCAAAGACATTCTTGAAAGCAATTGCCTCTCCTTGGAAATCATGGAACCTTTGTTCACTCAAATGCTCTTTGATGCAGCATATTAGGAGAACATTTAGAAATTAATTAAAATTACAGGGCAAAAAAATGATGAAGATCCATAGAAAAAAACAAGACCGACTCAAGAAGTTTTTCAGTACAGTATTTTTTCAGAATTTTTTTTTCAACAATATTCTATGACCAGAACAATAGATTTACGATGTGCTGCCTGGGAAACTGAGCCAGTGTGGAAAAATTTAATGGTATTGCTTATTTAATCACCTGGTTTAGTGCTTTTGAAAAAGAACTTTTTTTATGTTAATTTTCACTCTGTTACTAACATTACCAACCTTTCATCAATGGTACCTGATTTTGGGATCCTTTTTTTCATGGATTAATTTGGGATCATTTTCCATCTGTCTACAAGACTGATATACTAACAACAATATTTTTTTCCTATCATCAGGAATAAGAAAATGTTTTATAAAGCAAAACTGCAGATATAAAGTGGCAAATTAATTGCAATGATCCCAAACCAAGCCACTCAAAAGAATACATGTACATCTAAAAATTTGACTATTCTCAGAGAAAATAAAAAAAAGCATTGAAATAAACACTGAACACAGCTATTTAAAACGACCATATTAAATGAAGTAAGCAAAAAAAAAAAATTCCCAACTCGACCGCTCGGCTAGTAAAGAAATTGATCTTTTCAGTTACAAGGAAACAAGGTACCAACACTGCTCACAAAATTTATTTTCTGAGCGAGACTGAAAAACTGACAATATTCGGGACGGTTTAAGGGAAAAGAAGTTAAACTCATGAAGTTTTTAGCCGAGAGTGGCATTTGTTTCTATATCTCGTGGGACCGTTTTGTGTGACACGTTGAAACCAGGAGAAATTCAATATATCCGGACGTCAAATTGTCATCTATGTAAATTGGCCATTTTCATCACAATGGGTTCTACGAACTTGAAAACTACAAATTTGTAACGAGAGCCAGTTTAATTTTTTCAATGCAAGGTTAATAAGAGCTGTTAAGAACTTAAAAACTACAAATGATATGGAAAGACACGAGATGGATGTTTAACTGGAATATTGTATAAAACACGATATTAACTTCTGAGTGAATTCAGAAAGTGCGACTTACAATGTAACTGCTTTAATGACTGTTCGAGAAATATTTATAGCTTTTCCCCTTTCTGTGTTCAACAAGCAAAACCGAAATCTCTAGTCCATGACTCTACCACTCGAAAGATGCGTTATGAAAGAATGTCAACATTTTACCAACTGTAAAAGCAGGAATTAAAGAAAATATCACGTGAATTATTGATGTTTCGAATAGTTGAAAACTAAACTCGCTTCTGTCCAGAATAGGGCAGAAAAATATTAAGCCTGTTAAAAAAATCGAGGGAAAAACGTCTAAATACACAAACAACACGCTTTCTTTGATACTATTTATAGGAATTCTTTGGTGGAACAATTCTTTTGCACATCAACAAGAATCACGGCCTATCGGAGACATGTAAACGTGGCCATGCAAACACCAACGCAAAATTTAATTGTCTAAAATAGAAACGTTCCTTAAGTCACTAATAAAGGCTATAATATGCCTACATGACCCATAAGTTTTATTTCTTCGACTTTTAAATGTTATGTAACTCAGAAGAAAATAAGAGATAATTCGGTGGCCGTGGACAAAGAGAAAGACACAAAGCCGACCTTGAATAAACTTATAGTTGTATCAATTTTCACGCGCGAAGCTTACTCCAGAAAGGCCTTCTAAACAGCACACACACCAAACAAATTTGTAAATGAAACAAACCACACTATGGAAAAATTGAGTTTAAGATCGTTTACGGAACCATGACTGTGTTAATTTCCTTTTTGCCTTTTATAAATTCCAGTTATACCTGTGTCACAGTGGTCGAACGAATTGGTCCTGTTGCTGTTCGCCATTTTGATCCAGTGTCGTTTTGAGTCGAATTTTGCACATGAGCGCTGGGTAGAGGAGGAAACGCTTCAGCATACGTTGGCTGGTATCCTTCCAAGTCCAATCCTTCGTCTTCTTCGAAGTGGTTATTCAAATCTTCTTGTGGGATGTACCCTCCATCGCTGTATATAGACCCTTGAAGGATTTCTTGCCCGTGGCTTTCGCCAGTTCCAGGCGGCCCATTAATCTTGTCCATATTCTTGAAATCTGGTCCGTTGGCCGGTCAGGATCTACAGTCCCACTGCAGAAAAACACAAAAGAAACAACAGCTATTAACATCTAAACTGGAAGGAAAAACTCACGCTTGTATTTTAATTCACTACAAACTCGTGGCAAATCGAAGGTTAATTTCTCAACGCGAAAAAATTCCACTAGCACTGTCTAACCTGCTGGGCAATGGTGACTGTTTCCGATAAAATCAGTCCCGGGATTGATTCCTGGGTTAGCAAGCCAGAATGGCGGCCAAAGAAAACAAGGATAACAGTGGCTTTGGAGCCAAATGGCTGAGTAAAGAAGCACTGATCTAGTGCTCCAAAGAGAGACTATTCACGCGCGTGAACACGACGAAATCGACAAGGTTCTTTGTCTTCCGAGGTCATTACGTCATACGCAAATTATCCAATCACCACGCACAAAAGATTCCTACCCAGCTTTTACTGAGGCAAAAGTCTGAACGCCTGACGACAAAAGATTTAGAAGCGTAAGTTCGTTTCCTTTTCGTGTGGAATAATATCAGCTTATACAATTTCTTCCGCCTCTGCTGAAGAAGGGTGTTAGAAAACGTGATTAGGCTAAACGTGATTGGGTTATAATGATGTTTTGTGCCCTTCAAGAATTTTATGTTACGTGAGGTTATGCCCATTGCAGACCTGGGAACAGATAGTGATAGCACCTTCCGCCTGTTCCTCGATTGAGAAAAGTTACATGTACATCGATCACGTCAATGGTTATCAGGACAGTTTGCCACGCTGTATAAAAACAAAAATTGTTAGAAAAAGCTATATTAAAAACAAAATGCTGTCTGATTGCTTCCGAAACCTGATTGTTTCCTCTCGATCTCACGCAGTACTCTTTAAATGAGATAAGCTTATGTCTCGAGTATTTTATTTATAAATACGTTTTACAATAACCCAAACAAAAAAAGCTCAAAGCTCAAAAACCGTTAGCAATTAAGGTGGTCGAGCCGGATTATGAAATCTTTGGACTTTTTTGTCACGTGTTTACAGTGTGTTCGGTCCATGTCTGCTCTTACATCCGGCTCCTGCATGGGTGGTTTTAGGTGGGAAGGAGAGGGTAGATTGGTTGGCTAGATATCCCCCTTTTCAAGAAGCAAAAAAAGATTGTGAACATTATGACAGAAATAAAGGAAAACACTCTGGAAAGGTACGTCATTGTAATTTCTACTTTGTGGCATTGCCAGTATTTCTGGTGCGACAGTTTTAAATTATAGGCACCAATTCTCAAATAGCAACATTTTCTAGACATGTCCTGTTGATTCTGCAAC